CAACAGCATTTGTCATCTTCTCATTTAGTGTTTTTCTAGGAAAATAATTTTGCTGTCAACAAATCCCTTTCTTGAATGAAAGGCAAGTAGCTGAAGTAGCATGCTCAGAATAGGAATGGGTTTTTGTCCTCACTTTGCCAAATTCAACACTGCTTCAGAGCTTAACATCCAAAGTATCACAGGGAATTAGAGGATCAGCAACATGTGAATTCTTGCTCAGCCAATGGCAACTATCAGTATTCCATTACGGCAATTAACCATGAGGTTGCTTGATTTTTCTTCTATTCTGTGAGAGTTGCATCCTGTGGACTACTGTTGAGACATTGGTATCTATCACATAACTTTTCTTATCTTTAGGCATATGAACATGTATTTTGTTAACCTTTTTTCCTTATTACCAAACCAAAGCAAGACTGACTTACTCAAATCCATTTGTGCATTTTATGGTCAAGAGAAAATATGATTGCATGAGAGCCTTCTTAGAGCTGAGGAGCTGAGTTTAATGTTTTTCAGGGTTTTTTTCTGAGTAACAGAAGAACAAAATGAAACAGAATAGAATTGAAGTTGGGACACAAAAGGCACAGGACAAATATGCAAACGGAGCATGTACTTTTGTTTGCCAACATGCTGGACAATTCAGCAGCGGCAGTCTGAGGGCACGTGGTTTCCCTCTTCTGGTGAACAGATTACTTCAGATGAAATATTCCAACATTTAAGCTCTTCTCCTTCAAATTACGAGGTCATCTGTAGAGATTAGACTTTGTAAATCATCTTTAATCATTAGACCATTTATCATTTCCTTCACTCACAGCTTCCCTTTTTGGTTCCATGAAACCATCTATGGTGGCTGAGTCACGAAAAACCATTCTCACACATGATGCTTCATTGTATGTACGCCAAGGTGTTTCATTCTTTGGAGATATATACTAAGAGAATTTTTTGTTCGTGTGGTATTTTGTTGATTCTTAAGAAAATGGAGCAAGCATTTTGGCTGCAGAGCTGGCGGTGGGCTGCTTCTGTGAGTCAGACTTGGCATTCGCAGATACAAGGATGTGCTGCCAGTTCATTGCTGGATCACACCTGGCTGGGAGAATTCAGCTGTCTGTTTATTCACTGGGAGCAGAGAGTCAGCAGGAGGTACTGAGCAGAGCACACAGTTCCCTTCTTTGGGAAAAGCTCTTTTACTGTGATGTTATATCAGGTCATCCTGGATTAATATCTCAAGCAAATAGTCTTATATCTTTTGTACCACGCAGTTAAAAGCACGAGCTGTTTAACCTCACTGCCGGAGCAATAAATGGCTATCAGCATCAATGCCCATTTGCTGATATGCTTTCAGAACAAAGCATAAATTAATTTCTCTAGACAGGAATGCTCATGAAGAGTTAGACATCGGGGTTTAAAGTAAGTATTAATATGAATACAAAAGAAGCAATTACAATTTATGGAGGATAGTTTCATTGGTTTTCCTTTATAGACACATATGCACATACATGTTACTTGTGCAAAACGGCAGGTTTATTAATAGCTATCTTTGAGCAGTAGAAGGTCTAATTGTTTTTGTTGTTGTTGTTTTTAACCTGGGGTTGGAGAAAGTATATTTCACAGGGGCAGGGCACTTCCTTTTCTTTGACTGTGGCTCCAGGCTTGACACTGGCAATCACCCTGTTGCTTCAAGTGTTTTCTGTAAAGAAGATAGCTCTTTAGGAATTGCTGAAGTGACCTTCAATGGCCAGGAGGAGATAAACCCAGTGGAAGGGTCACCTCTCAGTCTGAGGGGTTTTAAGACAGGTACTATGGGCAGAAACTAACAGTGAGTCAGGGATTTTGCACATGAAGAGATACAAGCTGCTGCCACACAGGTATAAGATGTTTAATTGAACAAATATTCTCTTAGCATGGATGGAAGGGTTCCTGAGGTTTTCTGAGGCATTTTTCTCTCCTTCAGGGTGACAAGTTCAGCCTTTTCAGCTTTTCTCAGTTTTCCTGAATCACAGACAGCACTGGCAGCTGTGCAGAACTGGTGGCTTGGTCCTGCAGTGGATCTGCCAAGGATAAATTAGTTGGATTGCACATGGGTGTATGTCTCTCCTTACAATAATCACACTGAAGGATCATGGCCATCATCTGGAGCTTCTAAAAACAACACTTCCTCATCTGTTTGCCTAGCTGATGCATAACACATATTTACATAGGCTCTCATCTTAGGAAGTTTCATCATCTCTTGTGTAGGAGAATGCTGACATGATATGTTTGCACCATAAATGTTTCAGATTCCACACGTGCTTTCAATAGCCCGTTATGATTCTGCAGGCAAAAATATCTAAATACCACTGTACTACAGGGCAAATTAAAAGTTGTCTATTTCTCAGTGGCGTTTTCCAGCTTATTGTCTGATTTGCAAGGTCCTGGTGTTCAAATGTTGGTTCTGTTGTTTAAGCATGAATAGCCTCACAGAGGCTAACAGAATTATTCATGTTGTCAAAGTAAAATCTCTGCATTTTCAGCAGTAAGATGTTTGGCTGATTCATCAACATGTCTAAAAACAGGATTAACTTTAAGGGTGTGAAATGCAGAAGGCAATAGGACCACTTGCCCACTTTAATTTCTTGACTCAGAGCTTAACCCCACAGTTGAAGTCTAAGCACTAACTACAGACTCAAAATCTGTAATCTGGAATTTAGGAAGCATGCATCTTCAGGCTGGGTTAAATTGGGATTAGTTAGTTGGGGACTGTCACAATAAAAGGAGCAGATGGATGTAGTCATAGCTGGGACAGGATTGTTTGCCAAGCCCAACTATGTTTTCTAGCCTCTGTGCAAACTGGGAACACCAGCAGCATGGAGCTAGCACAATGGAAGCCTCATAGATCCCCCTTCCCTCCTTCCTCAGTTATTCCTTGAAATGGTCACTAAACCAATTCAATACGTTTTCTGGCTCCTAACCTCTAGTTATGACTATTTTTTAGCCAAAATCAGTATGAGCTGGATATACAGGCAACAGTTTCTCAAGCCATCCGACTGTGTGGTTAATATGAATTATTATATTCATGTTTTCCCTTCTTGTATTACCTCTTGGGTTGTTTTTTTTCGGTCATCATATGCTTAACCAAATTGAGAAATCGAACATCCTGCGTTCAAGATCCATTTGGACAACATTAACACAAAATTATGCTTTAGTCAACAATGATAGAGCAAAGTGTTGAGTATTCTGTGCTGACATACACATCACTGAAGGAAGCTTACAGAAGTAGGAAATCTTTCAGCGGTGTACTAATATTGTTGTTACTTTCCACAGTACTATGCCTGAGCTGAGGCCTCCAAATTGCACTCAAGAAATGCCTCAAATTGCACTGAGAAAACTTGGAGAATCTCAGTCTTAAAGTTTTCAGTGTCTCAGCAAGGAGAATAATTGAGTCAGTCAACACAAAAGTACTGGAAATGCTGGCTCCAGACCACAAAGTTCAGGCAGATGAGGAGCCAAGGAGGTAAAAGTCTGCTTTAGAATTAGCAGAGATCAAATAGATTTGGCAAAATCAAAAGAAATTACTCTCTAAAACTGTTCCAACAAATTAGTAAGTTTCAGTGTTCAAGCTGATTTTAGGCAGCCAGAAATAGCAGTTAGGCTAATTGCTAGGACACTTGCAGTAGGTGGTATGTTATCTGCCGGGCTCCACAAGAAACTGTTCATCCATCAACTTTTTGAGAAATGTGAAAGTTTCATAATCATACTTTAACTCCATTAGCTAGCATACAACAGTATTTATATATAAATAGAGACCTCAGACAGATTGCAGAGAAGGATAATTATGGTGGTTTCTTTACCACTCTGACAACTTGGTTGCCCAAGGACATGGACTTAGTCAATATGGAACACTGTGAAATGACAAATGAATGCTTAAGGAAGGTATTTTCACTAACTCTATCTGGTTAGATAAAATCTCCAAGTAATTGTAACTAAAATGTTAGTAACACCAAATCCCCCAGTAATTTCAGTACCAGCCCTCTTAAGGCTAGAACACAATAAGAAGGAATAATTTATCATCTGTTACCTGCTTAAAAGGGATCTCAACAGACGCAACAGTCACAAAAATAATTTATTTTTATGTTTATTCCATCTCTCCTTTCTGAGGGAAAAGTCACATGAATGGAGGCTGGGATTGCAACAAAGCTAAGGAGATGGACACTAAACAGGACGAGCAGAGCCAGCTTGAGGAAAGCTTTCTGAACAAGGCCAGTCAATGCTGCTTTGAGAATAAATAGCTGTCATAGTCCCTAGTCCCCATAAGACTTCTGCTGGCACACTTTATTTCATTGCACTTTGAAATCTAAAGGACTCTTCAGGAATGGAAGGTTAAACATACACATAAGTGTTCTCTAAGCCAAAGCCTAATTTGACTAATTTCTCCTAGGCTGATAATCAAATACGAAATCGCCCTAGCTCTTGGAGCAAACATTTCCCCCTAAGGACAAACCTCTTCACTGAACAATAGATCAGAAGTGAACCGGCACTCTGGAGTTCAAGGAAGACCTAAGGAAATTAATTCAGTTAGAGCACAGCAATTTGGAGGTAGCAGAAGGATGGCAAATCCCACTCCATTTCCTAATCTTCCCCAAAGGAACGTATTTATTACAAACTCTTAAAATCACCTTTTGATAACGCTGAACAGCCTGTGAGGGGCCCATAAAGGCATTCAAGGCAGACCCATTTTAATCCTTAATACCACTTGAAGATTATCCATTTTAAATGGCCTTGCAGAGCTTATCATAATTTTGCAAACTATTAAAAAGTTTCTCATCTATCTGGTGAGAAACACGGGCTCCTCCAGCCTGCCTGACAGAAAACATTGTATCTGTGGCTGTGATTCCAGCTGTGGCAACTCAAAATCTCAATGGCATGGAGGCTCTCAGTTTCACTGGGAAGACATAATGCATTGTAGCCATCTGGGTAACCTTTGCTCCTTGAAAACCTGTGAGAAGGATCATTGCAACTGCACTTACTGTATGTAGGGTTGTGACAGCATCTCTTGATGCTTTGTTGGATTCAGTAGCTCCACACCGCTCCTAAGCTCAGGTGACATAAACAGGCTGGAAAAGGAGAGAAAGAAAGTGAAGATAAGTCCAACCTCCACAAATGTGCAATGGAAAGAGCCTGAAATGCAGAGGCACCTGGTTGAACCTTGACTGGCTAATTCCCTCTAGCTGCTGCCCAAAGAGCATGGGGGATACAGGAGGGCGTGCCCACACTGTCTGACTGCTGCCTGGAGGAAAAGTCAGCATGCCTGGGACCTGCTGACTTGGCATTTTGCCGTTGCAGGATGTGGCTCCTTCTCACTCCTTCAATTGCCTTCACTAGATGAACGACTGCCACATTTAGAGGGCTAAATGCTACAAGGAAAGAAACATAAGCTCAAGAGGAAAGTGCAGCATTGTTTGTTTGCCCTGCAAAGCAGACAAACCCAGGAGAGCAACCACAGCAAACCAAAAATCAGACAAGGCATGGGATGACAGGGAAGGGTTGGAAAACAGGGGGCTAATAACCCCAGCCTGTGCCAGGTAAGCAGGGCTTCTCACACTGCAGCACCAACAACATATCAAAATCTGACCTGCAGCACCATCCTGGGCTATGAGCAGAAAGGCATTCAAGCTGAAACTGAGCAAATAAGAAGTGAGGGGAAGCTGCCAGACTCATTTTCACTGGGGATCTGAACCACAATTCAGCCCAGGTGACATTTTACATATTTTCACCATTGTTTTTGTTTAATTTGTGAAAGCAATTACACAGCCAATTGAACAGTGTAAAGCAACTGCTGCAATAGTCAATATCTCAATGAGGTACAGTGCAGTGTGGCTTTTCCAGTTAGGATATTCAGGCATAGCCCTACGGAATCTGTACCATCCATCACTGACACTGCCATCTGGCTTACCTGATCCTCCCCAAATACAGCTCGCGCTGAACAAACGTGACTTTTCTTTGGGCCCCTTCTGAGGAAAATGAGACAATGAAACACCCTGTACTGGTAGCTACATGGACAATCCTAGCTGGCACTGTCAGCTCTTAATTGAAGTGTGACTGAGCATAGCTAAGTGGCCAAATACACTGGGCCTCTCAGTGTTCACTTTGATGTCAGCAATTGGTTGTTCACCCCACTGAATTGCATAGTGCAAACATGTAACACAGGCCCCTCCAGGACTACTTCACTCTTGTCTCCCTTTCAGCTGTGCTACTCCAATTTTTATTGCAGTAGCTGAACTCACTTTTCAGTTGGAAATGAATGGGTGCAGCCTTAGTGACCTTACCCCTTCATCCTTCAATGGAAGGAATTCCCAAGCTGGTAGAAGAGCTGAACCTGGCTAAAAAGCAAGGAAGAGCCCTGCCTGGCTGGAGTAGACTTATCTACCGGCTCTAGTGCAGGCAGGTAAGTCAAGCAGTACTCCTCAAAGAACAGCACAGGACTGCTTCTCAGGGTGGGGCAGGGCACATGAGTTGTGCAGGTGTCAGTAAAGTGCACCTGGTCTGGTGCGAATCTGTTCAACAGTGTGCTTCGAAGAACAGGACTTGTGAACCGTTAACAGGGAGCCTGGGGCAGAGCACAAAGTTTAACCCCAAAGTCCTGAATCTGAAATGCTCCCTTTTCTCCTCATCCTTGTACAAACCACTTCCCAGAACCTAAGCAGGTATTTCCTACCATGGTCCTCAACAAGCACAGTAGCTTGGATGTGCTGGTATATTTTTGTGTGTATCTCAGAGAATTTTTGCATCATTTCTTAGCAGGCAATAAATAGTTTAGAGCAGATAACTAAATAGAAGCTACAGTATTCGAGCTCAACATTGTGGCAGTTGCTTGTCAGAAAAGACAGAAAACAGCTCTGTGACCCACGTGGTATCAGTGCTGCACACAGGTCTGCACGGATCTAATCTTTCTACTGAAATTTAATTATAGCAAAATTGCAGTTGGCATTATAAAGCAAGTTTAATGTTAAGAAAGACGTGTGTATTTTGTGCATCTTCTCGGGAGATAGCTGCTTTTAGAGTGGGATCAGTTTCTGTTATTGGTTGACCTCCTTGCACAGCCAAGAGGAGGGAGCTGGATTCTATTTTGACTCAGGCTTAAGTCAGCAGGCTTAAGTCAGCAGGGTCTGAGGCTCTGTGGAAGGATTTGAGGGACTGTTTCCCTCAAATCCTTCCACAGAGCCTCAAAACCTGCTGTTTTCTGTTTCTCTTTGCTGTGGTGTGGCATAAGAGCCCCTCCTGCCCCACAGGCTCCTGACTGGGACTGAGTCACCAGGACCTGCTGCTGCCAGGTCTGTGATGGCCCACCTCGGTGACTCAGGTGAGCTGCTGAGGTGGTGCAGCACTGCCAGTAGAGCAGGAGATGACTGTGCACACCAGTATGCTGGGAGCTGGCGGTAGTGCCGCTGTGTTACCGATGATAAATAGTCCATGTCACTGCAGTAGCTGGTCTCCAGATTGAAGCAGACTTTTGCGAATCAGCAGGGTCAGCATTTGAAAAGCATGTGAATATTGTGCACTTGTAAATATTTGAGCACATCTGTTTAGCTCCCTCTCAAAAACCACTGGGAAAAACTACTTCACATTGTGCCATGCAATGCTGTTACCCTGCTCTAATTGTCAAATCAGTTGAGTGTTTTTCTCATGCACACAAAAATTAAAAATTACTATCCTCATTCATGATTAATTCAGCTGCAGTGCTGCACTGGGTCACACCGCATTTTTTTAAAGTATTAAATTCCACCTCATAATAAGAGTTTTAATTAACTTTTTGCTACTTCGTCTTTTTTCCCCCCTTCACAGGGACTCAGACAATCTCCAGAGCTGCTTTCCCCACAAATGTCTCACTGGATGCTGCTGTGACAGCGATGGGGCACCAATGTGGCACTATGAAAACGGTCAGCACAAGCCACAGGACCTCTCCAAGGCCTCCTTGCTAGAGGCCTAAGGCCAGTGGCCTGCCCGCACACAGCTTACCTGACCAGGGGATGGCAGAGCTCTAACACTCAGCAGTTCTGAATTGCCTGAGACGAGCACTTGGCTATTACTTCAGCCCAAATCTTTTAGAGGGTATGGGTCTTTCATAGTCAATCTATGGAAATCCAAAGGAGAACTTCAGAGGAACAGCATTCCCGCCTCTCGGTCTATTGTGTTTCTGTACAAGCACATGTCCTCCTTCTAGCACTTGGTGCTCGCCAGAACTGCCCCAAACTGTTCACATACCTCTTTAGGATTTGTAGATGGACTTTCCAAGCAGGCATACTTTTGCAGGCAGGAAGAGTCACAATTCCTTCTTCCTCAAGCTGGCCCTGATAAGTAGAAAGGAAAGCTGTTTAATAACTGTATCATTTTTAGAACAGAGCAAAAGGCAAAGAAAACAGCATGGAAAGAAGATCTATAGAAGATCCAACTCCCTCTTAGAAGTTTCATGAACCTTTCTGGAGCAATGTGATTTTCAGACTCAGAAGTGATTGAAGTGCCCAGAGCCAGGTGGGCTGGAGAAGGCCTGGAACTTTAGTACTTGTGAGCAGAGCACAAGCAAGCACTGAAAAGGGCAGCAGAGGCCCTGACACTGCCCTGGTGAGAGCTGCCCAGCAACATGGTCATGCTGGCTCTGGACAGCTTCTCCTTGCAGGACCAGCCCTTACTCAGTAGATCTCCTCAGATTTTTCTGACCTTGGCAGTATTACAAGGGTCATATTTTCACATGGCTGGATTGCTCCTGAACAATTTCTCCAATGTATTAAGCAGAAACATGCATTCTGTCAGCATCAGACATGTCTAATCTCTCCACCTGCTTTCTCCCCCAGCAGTCACACTCAGTCTCTGTTGCATGGAAAATCCCACTGTCCTTTCTCTGTTAGGTAGCAGATTCTGGCTGCAGGCTGAGGAAGTGCTCCCTCTCCCCTCCCTGCCTAAACTCACTTCCCCCACAGTCCTGCTCTGACAAGTTTTGGGGCATGGCTGGTACCAGTGAGAGCTTGAAACCCTCTGGAGGAATGAAGAGTGCTGCAGGAGGGGTATCTCCACAAGTAGTGAGGGGCCATCGTCTTGGACCCTCCTGCCTCTTCCTTTCTGCAGACTCACAGTTTATGATTTCATAACTTCACTTAGCCTTATTTAATGTTTAACATTTCACATCTTAACTGAACTAATAAGTAACTTATGCTGGTCACACAGTAGTGTATTCCCTGAGCACGTGCCAGCATGGTTCCTGCTAACAAAATGGTGCCCTCACAAAATGTTTGGAGTGCCCAAGTAGGAATTTCTAACTGTCCTCCCTGCAGAGATCTCCAGCTTGCTCACAGTCCCCCATTCACAGCCCTTCCTAATGCCATCCCATGTAGCCTAATGAGCTGGGCAGGCTTCAGGAGAGGCCATCCCCATACATGCACATGGAGGTGCTTCTGTACTACACTCAGGCTCTGCTCTAGCAGCCCAGTAGGACACATTTCATTACAGTAATTTCTGACACTGCCTTGCTGTATATTTGAACATGGTGGTCATTCACCAGCTCCCACCCGAGGGGACATGGAACACTCAGCAAGAGCAGAGGTGATGTTGGTCTGCTGTCACACATGACACCTTGCAATGCCCACTGTTCTTCTGTTTCTTTGTGTGTGATTTCATTCCTTGGAAGATCCCTGATGCTCTCGAAGATCCCTGATGAGAGATTTCATTTCATTTTCTATTTTTCTTTCACAACAGTTGTGTGTTCGCAGTAGCTTTGCTCTGGCTCCTGTGTGATCAGTATGCTACCAGCCATATTAGAATAGGCTTGTATAATGACTAGGGCAACATTAAAAATGTCAAAATTGTACTTCTCTACTTCCTGAGCTTTTTTGCCCTACTTTGGTGTCACACCTCACACACCCCTAGGATGGGCAAACCCTCTCCAGGCTTTCCTGTACAGCCTACTGAATTGTGTCAGCCATTTGGTCTGAAACACAGCCCTTTTCTGCTTGGAGTTTGCACTGGGGATGCTTCAGTGGTTCATACGTGAGCATACCCAAAATACTGCCATGAGGAATTCTCCAAGAAAACATTTGTGCAGAAAGAGCTGCTCCTTCGAGCTCTGTAGCACAGGCTGAGAATTAGTAAGTGTTCTGTGAAATAAAAGTAAGAAGGATCACTCCAATGAACTATAGCTGATGTTTGCAGCTTTATTGCAAAGCTGTGCAATATTTGGACACTTTACCACTAAAATTAATCAAAGACGCACATTTCAGTCCCCTAGGCTGATTTGTAAATACGATTGTGTGTCTCAGGTGTACACTGCATATGTGTAATTGTCAGATCTAGTTTGTTTTGAATAGATTCAAGGTAAGATAAAGCAGAAAAAAATGCAGCCACCCAGGTATATCCTGTATTTGGTAGCACGAAGAGCAACATCCACTTATCTGCCTGACACCCATCCGAAAGTGCTCAGCAATCCTGTACGTTCACCTTACAGGCTGTTCCCAGATGGAAAATAGCATTTAAGAGTGACTGGTAAAAGCAGAGCTGAACCCACACATCTCTAAGAACCTGTCTCTACAGACAGTGTAATTCCTATTAATCTTCAGCCACCCTACTCTGCCATGGCTGTCCCCCCCCAGCCCAGCTGCCAGTCTCATGCCATACCCAGCTTTATGCCCAAAGCACCGTCACGCTTTAACAAAGAGGACACAGGAAGACGCAGTAGTACGGACAAGCTTATAAACAGGACAAGCTCAGCCTAAGCTGGCCAAAAAAACAGTACCAAAAGACTCCTCGGGAGTTTCCTGACTGCTCAGCGTGGTGAATTATAATGGATAAGCAGGAAGGAGAACTCCTCAGTGCAGTGTCCAGAGGAGCCTCTGGCTATGTCAAAGAATAAAATGGCATTCCCCAAATAAGAGTTAAATACAGCTGCTTAGAATCATTTTCAGTTGATTTTTCTTCATAAAAGGCCATTATTAAGATCTGAAAGTTAACAAAAGAAACTATTTTCACCAGATCTGGAAAAGAAAATTTGGAAACATACTTTTTCTTTACTTAATGACATTTCTTTCTCTTCCTTGCCCTCCTCACTTCTTCTGTGGCGGCAAACAAAATAAAGTGTAACAAAAGAGAGGAAGGAAAGAAGTGGGAGGAAGAATATTAAAAAAAAAAAAAGAAAAAAAAAAGAAGAAGAAAGCAAGGATGCAAAAACAAATAATAAGGAATAGAATAACAAAAACAGAGATCTTTCATCTGCAATTATTTTCCCAAAATTTCAATGAAAATATTCAGGAAAACAAAATATTACTAATTTTCTCTCCAGAGGTTTTTGAATGGTTCAGCATTCTTCCCCAGCCGGGTTTCCTCCCATTGGTTTCCACTCTGAGCCATTGTGATGAGTGGTGCAGGAACTGTTCCACCAGCACGGGAGCCAGGGAATGGGCCACCACGCCATCAGAGGACACATTGCTGGGATTAGGAAATCACTAGCACCAGGCTGAGCCCAGCAAGCCTTAGCAGGAGCACACTGGCTATCCTGTCTCTCTGCATTTCAAAATCAGTTTTGTGTAGTATGGGATGTCTGGGATTTAAACAGCTGTTAATGTCAACCTCTGATAAACTGAGCATCTAGAAAGACAAACTCAAAAACTGAGGAGCACCTCTGCCCAAGTTAGCCTCCTGCAAAGCATTCACAACATGTGTCCTGTGCCCATCCAGGCTGGCAGAGGTACACGTGCAAACTAAACTGTGGGACTGAGGCAGGGACTGGTGCAGCTAGCCCCGCACCATGCTGGTGCCCAACCTTCAGGCGGTCTCCCTTGCTGCCAATGAGAGGGCATGTGTCAGGAGAGAGGGTGCTGGACTTCTACCACCAGCAAGAAGTGCTGGCTGATGGAGCCCTGCGAGCACTGATCTGAACAGCTTGCGAACCATTACTATCTAGAAGTGTCAAGTAAGATTAGAACAAACATCAAGCAAAGATGAAATAAACAGCTATTGTATGGGCAGAAATGGATTTTCAGTTTCCACAGTAAATAAAATAATGTGCTGTCTTAGTCAGTGCCCCTGTGATGATACAGTTTGCAGGATTTTTACTGGCAAGCTGCCATACTTACTTTCATTTATCTGCCTCAAAGCACCATTTCAAAAAGTGCAAAAGCATGTTGTTGATAGAGTAGATTGTTTATAGCTGAATTGAGTATTTCAGAACAACATGCATTGTAATAAAGTGGGGGAGGGGACGAGGAAGCCAGCACAGCTGCAGATTCTTGAATCCTTTGTCAAAAAATCAATGCCAGAAAGCTGAGATATATTTATTCTGTCTCAGGAAATGCACTACGCAACCCCCTTGCTGCTCCACTCCATGACAAGTGCTAACAAAGGCCCAGAAGTCCTGCAGGTCTACATTACCTTGCACTGACGATGGTGCTGGTATCTCCAGAGCTCCACAATGGCTCTTTGGTGGCCAGTGAAGGCCAGAGATCCCTTATTGTAGAGCCCTTTTCCACCTCTGTGCTGCTCCTCAATGATGCACGTGGCACAGGAATTCCATCAGCAATCTGAAGTCAAGAGATAGGAGTAGGGTATTAAAAATAACAGTGTGAAGAAAATGAAGGTGCTTCAAGAGCAGAGGTGTGCAGGCTCAGTGACCTGCCACTGCAGGGGGCAGTCAGGCAGAGCGTGATGAGAAGCCAGAACAGCCCTTGCAGCGATGGCTGGGGCAGAAAAGTGGCTTGCCTGAGTTCACCAGTCTGCCTCTGTGTTCACAGTGCCTTCAAGAAGACAGTTAGGTTGGAAATACTACGCTCCATGTTGAAGAACATTATGAAAAGCACACGCCTCTGGAGGCTTCCACTGCCAACAAAGGCTGGTTTCCTCAGCACAAACAATAAACGGCTGACGAGTGAGGACTTAGTTCCCTTGAGACCGTAGCATCTAACCAAATAGAAGGCTGAAAAATATGAGTGAAATTAAGGTAAAAAGAGAGCGTCACTTCATGGGAGGACAGACTAAACTACAACCCAGTCAGAGGACATGGGTAGAAAATGAAATTCCTTTTCCAGCCCCATTGGACTCAGAAGGAAAACGTATCACACTCCCACCACGCTGGCGCAGAGCAGCTTCTTTGGCTGCTACTATTCCTTCAGCTGGCTGGAGGTGACAGTGGGAGAGCACCAGACCACCTGGCCTGGACGAAACAAGCCTGAGTTTCTTCCTCAGTCTGGCTTCTCACATACCCTATGGGCCCCATGCTGGTTGGTGCTGCATGGGGGGGTGGCTTCTGGCTGCCAGAGGCCTAGCGTGGGCCAGGAAGCTGCTGGGCCTGGGGGCCTCAGCTACAGGGGTGACCTCACCTTGCCATGTCCCCCATGGCTTGCCCTTGGCCCAGCCAACACCAAGTGCCCTCAGTGTGCTCGCTGAGGCATGCTGCTCTCAGGCACAGTGGGATTCCAAGAGATGCTGAGGTCCCTCAGCTCCTTCTGTCAGCAGGAGCTCCCAGAGGCACTCAGCACCCCAGAGCAACACTTGATCCTTGGCCGAATCAAGCGCCATTAGCATATTTCCAGGCATTTACAGATCCCATATTTTCTACATTAATATTTAACCCACCAAGTCTTTCAAAGCCCATCTTCCCAAACCTCAAGTTCCCAGATGCTTTTTAATGCCCTTCTCAATAGAGCAATAAAAGTCTGATATTTTATTACTCCCATGAATTATTACCCTAATTTGTAATTTGCCAGACTTTTTTAAACTTCAAAATCTGTACTGTATTTTCCCACACACACAAAAAAAAAATGCTGTGTGCGACACATTTTTCACTAACAAGTTGAAGCCTAATATTTAAATAGACACAATGATTTTTCTGAAAGGGTGCACTATCTTTGTCACACTGCCAGCGAGGTTGTTTTATGTCACCCCAAATCATGTTTAAAGGTTTTCCTAAAATAGAAAGGATAACCTAGAACTGTTCACGAAAGACTGGAGGCAGAATGAAATGGTTATACATTCTTCTAAACTTTGATGTAACATAAACTTCCAGGATGGTTTATAGGCACCTTTTTTTTTTTTTTTTTTTTTAAAGAAGTAAGCATCTTGGTTATCTGGAATGCAGATGCTGGGCAAATTCAGAAGCTCTGGCATGCCTGCAAGCTGTGCTCCCTATGCAGTAGACGCCAAAGATAATGGAGTAAAAGACGCTCAAGATCTCATCCAGCATCTGCTGAAGTTAACAGACTACGTGGAGCTGAGGATCATGCCTCCAAGAGCACCTTCCTGCTCATGAACTCAAGACATGGCTAGATCAAGAAAAACATAAAAATGAGGTGGGTCAAATTGGTCACAGCAAGCAGCGACGCTGACGTCCATGTCAAAAGTTGCCACAGTTTTGTGCAGAATGCTTTGTTAGCAACTTGCCTGCCAAGACAACTAAAGCTTTTACCATTCCACATGGAAACACGGCATCATACTTGCTGTAGTCAACAGCCTCTGCTGTCCAGGAACAAGCAGCTTGATCATTCATGGAGTACAAGCTACATTTGAAGACTGAACACTAAACATTCAATGGCTGGACAAATCTGAGACAGAAATGTGAGAGCACCTTAACTGGAGAACCTGTATTTGTTCAGAACAGAAAAAAATGAAATAATTTCTGTATTCTTTTCTAGAGATCATTTTCCACTATGACAAAGATCTGTCCTGCAGTGAACCTGTCACAGTTTATTTTTGGATGGACAAGGGCTTTGGATACTAAACTCTCCTCAGAGAGGAGTGATTCCTAGTGATGGAAATGTATTTCCACAAGGGCATGGATGAGAGGGTTCTTCACAGGAGGAAATGCCCACCAGTCCTTTCTACTTTCTGATCAGCTCAGTATGCCATACAGGACCAGTAGTGGAACTTAGCCTTAACAGGGACAACTCGATCCCTAGAGAAGGAAGCAAGCAAACTGCTATCTGAACCACCATGGACTAGCTCTGCCGCAGGTTCAAGCCTAATGCCAGGTCACTGGAACTACTTGGCTCCATTAAAGGCATGATTTGTTTAAAGTGGGACCCTGTGTAACAAACTAATAGTAAAATACAATGCATGCACATACGACTACTGTGTTTTCTATAGGCATGCTATGAAAACATTCTTAACCAGTAACCATTTCATTTCTACTTCTTGCTATTTTTTAAAGAAGTTTTTAAAACACCTTTTTTCCAATAAAAGAATAAAGTTGACTTGTTGAAGACAACTCTCTGCTTTGCTGAATATGCTCATCTCGCCTTTGACTCTAAGTGCTTCGGCAGTTAGAGTCAGAGTGCAGTTGTTATTGCTCTTGCATCTTGCCCTACCATGCAGCAACCACTGGTCTCCAAGAGAGGATTCAAACACCTTTCACATCACTTCACGGAAAGTTTTTGGACAGGGTCATTTCAAACCCAAGATTTCACTTGAGGCTTAGGTTGCTGAGCAGCGCAAACTCCCTTCATCTTTCAGGGCTCCATTGATTGCTAATACCACCTCAAACTATCTCATAACTTAAAAAGGCATCCAAAGGTGGTGAGACAGAATGGTGACAACCTCAAAGAAAAGCCAAAAAGTTTCTTCTATAGGCAACAGAGAAAGAATTTGGAGAGAGGCTTGTGTGCTTTCAAGCACAGGCACCCATGGCATTTACCCCAGAAGCCCCACTGTCAGAAGCTGCTGCCTGGCCCCAGCCAGCTCTGCTGCCATATTTCCCCTTGCAGCCTTCCCACTGCTTCCCAGGATGACCCCGGAGCAGAGTCCCACTGATACGCAGAGCCCTGTGTGAGAACAAACAGGGTGATGCGCGAGGTTCCGCCCTAGTGCCCAGCAGCATCTGCATGTGATCAACAGCCTCTACAAGGCACTTAGCCCTTCGCTTATTTCTCAGGGCTGCAACTTATTAACAGGGTTACCTTCTCCGATGAAATATCATCACCATGTGTAAACACCACTGACAGGCATTAATTGCAGACAATGCCTTTAATCAACAATTGAACATTAATAAGAACAGACCTTGAGAATTAACACAATCAGACACTTGTATCTAATCACTAAGGAGTACTTCTCATAAAGAAAACCCTTTCCTTTTGTTCCTAAAAAGGTCAAGGTCTTCTTTTCTCTATTTGACAAGGAGAAAAACCACACATAGGAGAGCATGTCGAGGCTTTATGTGGCTTAAATTATTTCCATCCATGCATAAAAAAAACATTCCTTTCCAAAGATGTTCACCAAGTTTTTCTACGTGATCTACAGATCCCAGAGCCTCTGCTCCTGAAATTATTAGGTTAGCTGCTGAAAGAAGCAATCAAGTTTTACTGTTAATCTTAAAAGCTAATCCTTTTTATTGACTTCCCAGTCAATAAAATTGTAACTCTCAAACTACTTTCAGGTTTACTTGAGTAATAGGAGGGTTTGTTGTGTACCTGTGTCTGTGTTTGAAGCTGCTAATTTCCTTGCTGAGTAAGCCGCGCTCACAGGTTAAGACTATAAAGCAATTTGCCTTATCGCTTGGCATGGGGTCCTGCTTCCACTGAAATCAGAGCAAGGTTTGGACTGAGAGGACTTCGGGAGTAAGGTTGGGACCTTCAGCCAGTCATGGTTTATGGGGGATTATTACAGGGAGTGAATCTTCCTGATGAAAGGAAGGATGAGGAGAAAGATTTTTTTTTAGTTTGTTAAAAGAAGCCCAATGGATACAGCCGTCTCTATTTCTAAGCTGAAATCTAACCCAGAGAACTGAAGAAGCATCAGAGATTGGTTATTTCTCAGCTACCGCAAAGCCAAGGGGCTGAAGGGAACACCAGGTGTTCTGGCCCCTTCTAGCTGCTGTGGACCAGGTGTGCCACCCTTCCAGATTTCCTCCAGCCTCACCAGGATGCCCAGGAGCCCCAGCACCACCTCAGCCAGAAGAAGCATGGGAGAAGAAAAGCAGGTCTGCTCTCAGCTTACATGCTGTGTTGAACACTAAAATATAAATAGCTCTCTGAGCAGCAGGGAAAACATGAAGGCTTCCTTGGCTTTGTAATCTGCAGTGGGATTTTCTTGTGCTGAGCAGTGTGCGAGCTCTGACTGCATCTCTTCCCACTGGCAGGGGGCATTCTGCTGCCTCTCAGGGTGCAGCCCTTCCCTCAGCGGCAGGATCACTGCTGCTCCTCTTCGTCCACTGCTGGTTTCATGAAGTCTGCCAGAATTAAAACCACCAGCCATAGCTATTGCTCAAGTTTAGCAGGGACCAGCCTTGAGTTCAAAGGGGGTTCAAAGGGGGAAATTTTTCCCTTTCTCCAAACCTCTTCAGCCATCAAGCTATTGCAGCTCTGGTTGCACCAGCAGCTGACCAGTGCCTGGCTCTGCTCCCAGCCAGCATGGGGCACGGGACAGATGGGGCAGGGCTCACTGTGTGCTGAGGGCTCTCCACCGTGCTCAAGTTTCAGGTGGGCCCATTCCCCATCCGCTCTGAGTGCGTACAGCCAGTTTCATGCTCTTAACATTTCCCAGAAATTCAAAGTGACAGAACCGGAGGTATTGCAATCTGGAACTCTTAACTTTA